AAGAGTGAATTACATTGAAGGTTAAAACACTACATTTGTTATGAAGAAAAGATGATCTAGTAACTCATTTATGAAACAACAAAAAAGCATAATATGCAAGTATATTGTGTTTTATCATAGGAATGATAGATTTGTAGATTATAGTGGAAAAATTATTAACTAGAATTAGGAAGATACTCATTCTTTCATTTGTTCAGTCATTTGTTTATTCATTTAATAAATATTTACTGATCCCCCATTCTGTGCCTATTCCAGGCACTAAGGACAGAAGTAGTAGTGAACAACACATAAAAAGCCTTGCTCTCAAGCAATTTGTCTTCCAGTAGGGGGAGACAGATAACAATAAATAAGTAAAATGTTCGTCATAAGATGGTAATAAACAGTAGTAAGTAAGATGGTATAAGATGATAAATAAATAAGGCTGTAAAGGAGGCTACACAGAGAGAAAGGAGTGGCTGGGTGGGATTCTAATTTTAAAGAGGTAGTCAAAGAAGCCTCACTAAGAAGGTAACATTTGCAGAAATTCTTGAACAGGATGAATGATCAAGACATACAGTCATCTGGAGAAATAATTCTCTATGTAAGAAGAACAGCAAAGTCTAAGTCTCTGAGGCAGGAGAGTTCCTGAATCCTTTCAAGTATTAATACAACAAATGGCCAGTATGACCCAAGTACAATGAGCAAAGGGAGTAGGATAGGATGTGTGGTCAGAGAGTGCGTTGGACAGTGAAGGATCTTACAGGCCATTGTTAGGACTTTGGCTTTTCATATGAGTAACTTGGGAAGCTATTGGGGCATTTAAGCAAAGAAGAGACATAATCAGACTTATATTTAATAGGACCACACTGGCTACTGGGTGGAAAAGAGACTGCAAAGGGTAAGGGAACAAGGACAGAAACAGAAAGATCAGTCAGGAGATCCTTGAACTAATCTAAAAAAGAGATGACGGCTCCTTGAACTAGAGAAGAGGTGGTGAGAAATAGTTTGGCTCAGGGTACATTTTGGAGGGAGACCTAAGGAGAGCTCAAACATGGGTATGAGAGAGAGGGAAATCAAGGATAAGGTAGAAATCAAGGTATTTGGAGCTGGCATTAATTGAGACAGGGAAGACGTTGGAGTGGGGAAAAATTTTAGGGATAAAGTCAGAGATTAGGAATTCAGTTGTGGACATGGTAAATTTGAGATGTCAACCAAATATCCATGTAGAAATATTGCACAGGTGGTTGGATAGAAAGGTCTGGAGCTCAGGGAGCAGATTTATTTGGAGATGTAAATTTGAGGGGTCAGCAAGTAGATGGTGTTAAACCTATGAGACTAGGTGAGATCATCAAAGAAGTAAATACAGACTTAGAAAAGGACTAAGCTTCTTGTGGGAGGGAAATGCAGTGTTTAAAAGATGTTGGAAAGATTAATATAACTCATCAAAGGAGACTGATAGGGAGTAGCCAGAGAGTTGGGAAGAAATATAGAAGAATGTTGTGCCCTGGAAACCAGGTGAAAAATGTATTTTAAGGAGGAGGGATTGATTAAATACTATTGTTAGATCAAGTAAATGTGGATTTAATACTAACCATTAGCTTAATAATGTTGAGGTTGATGGTATTGTTTAGGGGAAATTGAAGTAGGGATAAAAGCTTCAATGAGAGTGAGAGGAAAGGATTTAGATAGATAAATGTGGACTATTCTTTTGAGGAGTTTTGAAAAAAAAAAAAAAAAAAAAGAGGCACAGAGATATGGACCAGTAGCTGGAGGGGGATGTGGGATCAAGGGGAAAATTTTTTAAGATGAAAGAAATAACCGTAGTGAACAAACCAGATAAAAATTCTTGCCCTTAAGCAATTTGTTTTCTACTAGGGGGAGACAGGAAACAAATAACAAATGAGTAAAATGTTTGCTGTCAGATGGTAATAAGTGGTAATGAATAAGATGGTATAAGATGTTAAGTAAATAAGGATAGAAAGGATACTAGAGACAGAGAGGAATGGCTGGGTGGAATTATAGTTTTGAGTAAGTAGTCGAGGAAGCCTCACTAAGAAGGTAACATTTGCAGAAATACTTGAAGAGGATTAATGATCAAGCCATATACTTTGTATATTGATGGAGACAATTTAGTAGAGAAGGAAAAAATGATAATAAAAAAACAACATTTCTGAAGTGATGTGCTTAATTATGCAAGAGGATGAGATTTAATGCACAAATGGACGGGCTGGTCTTAGAAGCACAACCAGTTCACCCACGGGGAACTAGAAGGAAGGCAGAATGAGTATATGACATAGATGAAGACAGGTAGGCAAATGGATGTCAGAGAGGGAAATTTTAAAAGTTGTCTTCTGAATGCTTCTACTTGCTCAGTGAGACAGGAAACAAAGTCAGAGGCTGGCATGGAGATTGGGAAAGACATCTTGGAGGTTCCAGGTGAGAAGAAAAGGTGTGAAATTGTTTTCTAAGGCAGTAAGCTATAGAATGGACAAGGGTCTGTAGAATGGTTGAGACAGCATTAATGGCCCACTTGAAGTTAGGTCCTGAATTTAAATGACTGTTGTACGTTTTTCTCCAAGAACACACAGCTGCCTGGATTCAGGCATGGAGCAGGCTGAAAGCTATCTTTATAGTCAGGTTTTGCCAGGGACTTACAACTAAGTGAAAGGGGACAATGGAATTAAGAATGTGTATACGGGAGTGATTTCACTGAGAGACTGTGGAATCTAAGTCAGGTAAGGTAGGAGATGCAAATATGAGGGAGCTGAGCGATACTTTGGATGGGTTAAGATCAGTGGTTTGTAGGTCCCAGTAAGGCAAAAGAATTATTGGAGTTGCAATGTCAGAGGAATTGAGATGATCAGAGAAATTGAGATTACAAAGGGTAGCAATTATTAATACTGGAAAGGTCAAAGGTTTGCCCTGGGGGAACTGGGTAGAAGTGGTCACAGAACTAAGATACCAACATCCCAAGTGCGCTTTAGTCTCAGCAGAAGTAAGATTTCAAAAGTCTTTGAGGGAGATTAGGAAGCAAAGAAATAAAGCAGATTTACAAACTAATCCTAGGGATCAGCTTTGGGTATAGTTACCGGCACATGGAACCAAGAAGCAGCAAAAAATCAGAAGTCTACTAAGTTTTCATGGTAACTGTAATGCTAAAAAAAATCATGAGGTAGCCTTAAGAAGCTTTTCACTGTTAAAATAATATTTGTGATATGAAACTCACACACCTGAAAGTGAGCTTCAAAGCAATATGGGCCTCAAGACAGTATACTTCCCAGTACTCAGCAATGGTGTGGCCTGGAGGCTAAAGGACAGAAAATCGCCTCCCAGATGGCCAAACAAAGGGCTATAGGAAGGAATGGACAGGGAATATTCTTCTCAGAGAACACAATCCAGGTGGAAAAAAAGACTGTTATCCATTGCCACAATCCAGAAACTGCTGTGTATTTATCACTCCTTCTTTTAAATGGGAGTTTATAATTCTAATTTTTCTGTCTTTGTTACCTATTGTACATGTAGTGTCAAGACTTGATAAAGAAAACGATACATCATCTGTAGATTCTGGACTTTGAGTTAAAGGCAGTGCTACATGGGACTCTGGGTTCTCCTTTGGGAAGAAGAAGAGTGTTCTGGAGGCCAGAGAGGTATACACTTAAGTATTTATTGAGGTTTGTGTCTCTTGTTCCATTTGTTCCATGGTATAGAAAAGGCAGCTCAGCTCATAGCTATATTGCTTAATTCCTTCCTCCTTGAATCTGGGTGTGACCTATTTTTTTTTGTTTGTGGGATTAGAAACGTAAATTTCTTTTTTAAAAACTTTTATTTTAAGTTCAGAGGTACACGTGCAGGTTTGTTACATAGGTAAACTTGTGTCATAGAGTTTTGTTGAACAGATTATTTTATTACCCAGGTATTAAGCTTAGTATCCATTAGTTGTTTTTCCTGACCTTCTTTCTCCTCCCACCCTTCATCTTCTGATAGGCTCCCATGTCTGTTGTTCCCCTCTTTGTGTCCATATGTTCTCATCATTTAGCTCTCACTTATAAGTGAGAATGTGTGGCATTTGATTTTCTGTTCCTGTTTTAGTTTTCTAAGGATAATGACCTCCAGCTCCATCCATGTCTTTGCAAGGGATGTGACCTTGCTCTTTTTTAATGGCTGCGTAGTATTCCATGGTGTATATGTACCACATTTTCTTTATCCAATCTATCACTGATGGGCATTTAGGCTGATTCCATGATTTTGCTATTGTGAATAGTGCTGCAGTGAACACACATGTGCATGCATCTTTTTAGTAGGATGATTTATATTCCCTTGGGTATATACCCAGTAATGGGATTGCTGGGTCAAATGGTATTTCTGTCTTTAGGTCTTTGAGGGATGTGACCACTTATAACCAGTTTGTGTTTGTGGCATATGAGTGGAAATGCAATGTGTGAAACTTCTTATCCAAGGCTTTTAGGAGCAGGAGTGTTTTATTCATCCTTACTGTGTCCTTTTCATTGCTGGATGCAGATGATGGGGAGGATTTAGGGAATAGCAGAGCCACCCTTAAGTGCTTAAACCACCCTTAAGATGGAAGGAGCCCAGAGGAGAGTACCTACTGACCACAAACACCTGCCTTGTATTGTTATATGGTCAAAAAATAAATGTTATTGTGTGAAGTCACTGAAAAACTTGGATTCATTAGTTATAGTAGCTAGCTTTACTTTTCCTAATACAATGTTGATCTTGATAAAAACTCCATTTCTCTGGGCTGCAAATGTTTATAAAAGTAAGTGGTTGGACAAGACAATCATTAAGCTTCCTAAGTGATCCTAAAATGATTAATTTCTGCTTAGTTTTGATTATATATAAACAAATATAAGCTCACACTTATGTCTTCCCATCTTCTAGAAATTCATAATTAACCCCCCGCCCATGCACACACACAGAGAACTCAAATGGAATTTCTGAATTCTTTTATCCAAGAATGTTCAGAATGGCTGACACCACCAGTGAGGCACCTTTTGCCTTACCTGTGTGGTAGGGCACTGTAGGTTTAGCAACACGGAGGGACTGGTACAGCGTAACAGGTTAAAGTAAAACAAAATGGTCTTGTTCCTGTTAAGAAAGAAAACACAATCTTTTTAGTGACCATGGAAATGTTCCACATCATCAGTCCCTGAACACTTTTGATAAATAACCTTTAAAAATTGGCTTCATTATCTACAGACAGCTGAAATATATTCCCCCTCACCCTTAAGTACCTAACTTTTAAAATGTCTTTTTTTCTAATAGTAAAAAGTTGAAATAATCAAACTATCCATCAACAGGAGATTGGTTAAATAGATTTGCATACCCATAAAGTAGAACATTACATTGTCATTGAAAATAATGCTAAAGAACATATCTAATGGATGGTGAAATTTATAATACGTCAATTTTAGGAAGCAGGTTACTAAAGAATATTAACATATGATTTGATTTTAATTTATAAAAACAGGTATAACATGAAGAAACAAATTATTACACCTGAATGCTGGGATTATATTGCTTAATTTTTGTGCTTTTATGGATTTCCCAAAATAAATATACATTACTTTGGTAATCTGAAAAAACATAAATGAATTAAGTGATACTTTCTCTTTGCTGAAAATTATAGCCAGTGCCAGAGTAATGAAGCAGGTTGATATTCATTATCATTAGTTTTGAGTGGTATATTATTCTACCATTTAGCAAGCCATGGTTCTCTTTTGAATCTCAATTTTCTCATCAGTAAAATGAAGATAATACTATTCCTACCTACTTCACAGAGGTGTTGGGAGGGCCTAAGATAATGCACGGTGGACTTAAGACAAGTGGTTGCCCAACTTCAGCATGCACAAGTAAAACCTGAAGTGTTTGTTCAAAATTTTGATTCCTGACTCTTTCCCAAACCTCAAGAGTCCAAATATCTAGATATGGGACCCAGGAATTAGTATGTTTTCCCCTAAGTTCCCCAGTGGATTCAGATATAGTGTTCTGTAAACCATATCTTAAGAAACACAGCCCTAAATATTCAGGAAAAATGTTTCCTAACTCTTTGTCAACTCCCCAGTAAATTAATGTGACTACATGCATAGCACAAAATGTAATGGGCTGTTGAGCAATACTTTTCCTACCAACTCAAAATCAGTAAGTAGGATCCAAATCTAAGGATAAAGAAAGTCTTCCACAAGAGACTGGGGCTAGGTCTTTTAATCACTTCTACCTGGTTCCTACTCCTCTCTACATAAGCCAATATTGTGGGGAGGGAGGTGGATCAGAGACAGTGGAGTTGGCAGGATACAACCAATGACTGCAGTTAATAGAACTTTCCCTACCATCCCCACTGAGGAGAGGACAAGTTGTTTCTTCCAAATTCCCAGTTATAGAGGGTTCTAAGAGAATCTGTCATAGAGACTGAAGGTGCAGTAAGAGGGGTAGACCAACATCTCATTTTCTAATTGAACACCTCTTATGTGGCAGACCAGCTAGTCAGTCTTCCATGCCCATTTGAGCAGGGAGAAATGAGACCCAAATAGACCACAAGAGAATTGAAAAAAAAGTCAATGAGGCAGAAAGAGGGCAGCAGTAAAACAGCCCATCATAGTAGGATATGGAATCAATAAACGGGCTTCAGCCTCCCTGGTGGTACCTCACCTGACATTAAGACACTGTGGAGGTGAATCACCAGGGATGGAGCTGAAAGGGTTTGGAGGAGGGCAAACCAAAGCTGATCACTTACATCAAAGAACTATTCAGTGAGGACTGCCCCAGAAAACGTCCACCTGCACCCCATGAGAGAGCCAGCCCTTGGATGCCTGCCCTAGTGAGTGTTGATGGCTGGTCAGTTATGTCCTAGCCACAGTGACAAAAACAACAGCAAAGCAAGTCCACAGAAACATTCCAGTTCTTTTTTCTTTAGTAAGAAGGGGCAGTAGCTAGGAAAGTAAAACACATCGTCCCTTTTCTTCTTCTACCCCTCACAGCATATTGAATAAGCTAGAACCAAAAAGGAAGAGAGGAGACGGGTAATAGAAGGCCAGGTCCTCTCTCTCTCTCACTTCAAGTTCTTTGGCAGAGTCAAACCTGAGCTTGGGGATTGGAAGAAATGAAACTGAAATCTTAAATTGGACTACACTGAACTTTTAACAACAGAAAGTGTCTGAAAACTATGTAATCTGCCCGAAATATCAAAGTGAGAAGCGAGATCTGAAGGAGCACTGTTAAAGGCAATGATATGAGAAAAATAAACCCATTCTAAGTTTGTATTCCACTAAATTCAAATGGCTGAAGAAGCTGGTTATAAATTCATACACAATATGTACAAGGCTACTACTTTGAGATCTCTAAGTGTTAGCTTGGCTATTTTGCCACCCAAAGCAACAACATCATCCACACAGTCTCACAGTGCATGTGATTCAAATTTGTACTTAAGCAAATGAGTAAATTATACATATCATGGATCACTGGGGTCCCTTGGGAGTAGTTAAAACTGTGAATAGTATATTAGTAAGTGCCAAGAGTTCACCATTGGTAAAATTGATTTATAAACTGCAAACTGCTATATAAACTCAAGTTATTCACCAGATTATATTATCCTCAAGGGTAAGGTTTATACCTTATTCATCTTTACATCCCTACGTTGCCAGAACTTAACCTCATACTTGGCCCACTATAGACACTTATCAGATGTTTTAGAATGAATGAGATCAATTCCATAATAAGTTTTTGAAAATATTTATCTCAAAGGTTTTCAAGTAAGTCTTAGAATCGTCCTTAGTATTTCAGCACAAATCTACAGTCATTTTACCACAGCCTTTGATATTCTCAAATTTCAGTGGACCACATTTTTTTTTTTTTTGGAGATGGTGTCTCACTCTTGTCCCCCAGGCTAGAGTGCGGTGGCATGATCTCAGCTCACTGCAACCTCCACCTCCAGGGTTCAAGCAATTCTCCTGCTTCAGCCTCCTGAGTAGATGGAATATCTACTCAGCCTCCTGAGTAGATAGCCTACCACCATGCCTGGCTAATTTTTGTCCTTTTAGTAGAGACGTGGTTTTGCCATGTTGGCCAGGCTGGTCTTGAACTCCTGACCTCAGGTGATTTGCCTGCCTCGGCCTCGCAAAGTGCTGGGATTACAGGCATGTGCCACCATGCCTGGCCTGACCTCAGATTTTTTACGTGCAAAGTAGATGATGGTGATTGCAGCTGAGCAATTCTGTGGAAGTAATTGAGGAAGTAACTCATAATTTAACTTAAATTATATTTCTACCAAGAAATAAAATAGAAACAATAGCAAACCACTAGTTCAAGATGATGTACCAGGCACTTAAGCCTATCTCTCTTCTTTCCTGAGACTCATCGGAATAAAATAGTAAAAGTACCAATAAATGAATAAACCTCAACATACAAGCTAAGAATGTGGATGATGTGATTTGCTCACAATTGTATAGGAGAGTTCAGCAATATTTGGAACATGAGATGAATACTGAAGTGTGCTGAACAATGAATGCACCATACAGGGGTTCAGGGAGGGTGGGACAGAATTTGCCTGTTAGAAATCATGAAACATGCTAGACTGAGTTGAGAGTGAGAAATGTAGCCAGAGCAGAGAGATTAATTGAAAGTTTCTATACAGATTTTCAGTGCAAATCAGAACCACTGTCTTTCTCCCAGACCTCTATGCTTAGAATTCCAGCTTCCAGAAAATAGCTGATGAGCTAAAACTAAAATTGCAAAAAAAAAAAAAAAAAAAAAAACCTCATAATATTTTAAGAAAGTTTATTATTTTTGTGTTGGGCTGTACTGAACGCCATGCTGGGCCACATGGAGCCTGTGAGCCGTGGGTTGCACAAGCTTGTTTTATGGCATTTTGAAAGCCAGTGCCTGACATCCAGCTTCCTACCAATTTATGCTGTAATGGCATATGACAGTCAGCACAGCCCTGTCACCCCACATGGTGCAGAGGCCTCTTTGGTAAGATGACCGACTAACACAGCAGCAAAGCAAATCCACCCAAACCACCCAGTCCTTTTTTCTTTAGTAATGGATAATTATGTAGCATCAGGCATATATTAGGAATAAAAATATAAAAGAGAAAAACTAAACAAAGAAAAATTAAATTATTAAAATAATTAAGGACACAGGAGGGAACTTTAAAACTTCTAATATATTTAGAGAAATTTAAGCAGATTATTCATAAAATGAAAATGTGATGTTATTGTAAAAGAATAATTGGAGAACAAGAAGGGCTTATAAAGATTAAAATAGAATTGCCAAAATAAAAAAAAATCAAAAGAAGAGCTGGAAAAAATTAAGAAATTCTAAAATACAGAACAAAAAGTCAGAGATAAAAAAGAAAAGGAAAAAAAGAAGAGGCACTGAGACTAATCCAGGAGATCTAAGGTATGACCAATAGTTCCAGAAAGACAACTGAAAAAATGGAAGGGATAAAAATCACAAAGAAATAACAAAAGAAAATTGTCCAGAGCTGACGAGAGTCATAGTTCTTCAGGATTAAGGGACTTACTAAGGACTCAAAGAAAGAATTAAAAAGGGCTCTATCAAATTGTGAGATTTCAGACCACTAAGAATAAAGAAATGATTTTAAGTACTCTCTAAAAGGAAAAAACTTATCATGATATATGTGAATTATACTGGCATTAGACATGTTGGATGCCAAAAATAATGGAGCAATGTCTTCACATTTCTGAAGGGAATTGTTTTTCAAGCTACACTTCTACAGCTATACCATCAATCAAATATAAAAAGAGAAAAGAAAAGACGAAGAGACAAAAAAGACTCAGGAACTCAGCAAGTTTACTTCTTATGCTTTCTTTTCTTAGGAATGTAACTGAGAATATTCTCCATGAAAACAGGAGGGTCAACAGAAAGAGAGGCAGCCTTGGGATATAGGAAACAATAAATTCACATACTTATACTAAAAATTATTATTTGTATGAAATTAAGTTAACCGGGCATTCTGTACTTTTGTTTCACAAAGCTGATAACTCTAGAAAAAGACAATTTAACAAGGTAGAGAAGCCCCAGAATTAAAGCTATGCAATAGGCCTACAATTTACCAGGTCCTGAGTAAA